GGCCCCGCCGCCGGCCCCCGCCGCCTCCCCGCCGCCGCCGGCGGAGCCCGGCCAGGACTACGTACACGTGCCCATCCTGCCGCTCAACTCGGCCTACCTGGCGTCGCGCACGCGGCAGCTGCTCGACGTGGAGGAGTTCGAGAGCGGCGCCTTCGGGCCGCGCGCCTCGCCCGCCGCCGCCGCCGCCGACTTCGCGGACTTCGCCTACGCGGCGGCCCCCGAGGGCAAGGAGGGGCCCTTCGCCTACGGCGACTTCCAGCCCGCGCTGAAGATCAAGGAGGAGGGCAGCGGCGCCTACCTGGCCGCCAAGGGCGCCGCGGGCCCCGCCGACTTCGCGCAGCACCCGCGGGCCGCTCAGGACTCCTCGCTCGAGTGCGTCCTCTACAAGACCGAGTCTGCGCTCCTGGCCGGCGCCTACGGGCCCGCGGCGGCGGCGCCCGACAGCCTGCCCTCCACCTCCGCCGCGCCGCCGGGCCTCTACCCGCCGCTCGCCCTCAACGGCCACCAGCCCCTGGGCTTCCCGGCGGCCGTGCTGAAGGAGGCCCTGCCGCCGCTCTGCCCGCCCTACCTCGGCTACCTGCGGTGAGTGGCGGCGCGAGGCGCGGGCGCCGCGGCCGCTGGGCGCTCGGGGCCGCGGCCCTTGGGCGCGTTAAGCGCACGTGGAGGATGCTGAGGCARCTACGTCCATTTTCCCCGTCTAAACCCCGTCTGACGGTTTTAAACGGCGCTGACTTCGGTGTGACGGTAGCTGGCTGGTGTTTTGCCCGCTCGGGAAGCGCAGTTCGTGTGGGGAGCGAGCCGTGAGGCATTTTGCTGTGTTGTGTTTTAGCTTTGCAACTGATACATTTTAAAATCCTTCAGGCACAGTTCTGGTTTGAGAAAAGTAGCGTTTTTATCTTGGTAACTGTTCATTACAAGGTAATGTCTCAGCAAGAAATCAGTCCTGAAGAAGGGAGGAGCGGGGTGTTTTGCAGAATGTGTTCTAATCCGCACATAGACAGTATTTATAGATGTCTAAGTATTCTTTGAAATATCCATTCTTGATTTGAGGAAAAAAAAAMCAGTTAATTTCATACGAAAACAAAAGAACCCTGAAATGTTTCAAATATTTATATAGATTTATTAGAATGAAGTGGCTTTCTGTGATTCCAAGGTGTTATGCATTACATAGGGAGGCATGCGAATATATATGCACGCAATGCTGCAGCCTCAACAGAAATCCTTGGATGTTTTGAAACATCAAGATTAAGTAGATTAGTGGGTTTTGTTTTCTTTGTTTGTTTGCTTCTTGCAAAGAAATTTGGAAGTACTTTCCTTAGCTTTCCTTAATGTTCCCATCCAAACTAGTTGTTGGTCCGAAGGCTGCAACTGAATGGGAGGAGACGATCTGATTTGTAAAGATTTTTTTCTAGCTAAGATAAATTGYTCCTGTGTGAAAAGAGCTTTTGAAATTCAGTTTATTTCAATTTGATTCTGTTTCTCTGCAATTCTGTGCTTAGGAAAAGGTATAGAAAGTAGTATGGCTTTACTCAAAAGGGTTGTTGCCCAGAGGGAAGATGAACATTCTGACAAGGGCCTCGATTTTTACCTTCTTCGGCTAATGAAGGTTGGAATATTACTTTGACCAATATAATAACTTTTTTATGCCTTGGCAGATTTTGTAACTGTAACTTCTATTATAGAGAAGCCTGCAAATRGAAATGCAGTCATACTTGCAGTTTTCTAATTTTTGTCTTATTGTCCTCCTGAGGTTTGGTTACAATTTAAAAAACCCTGAAGTTTTAAATATAAAACTGATTAATACAAGTAGCTGTTACAAATTAGCTTATCTGCCACAAATCGAAATATATAATTTCTCTTAATTCTTTTTCTTTTAAAGGCCAGATACAGAGACCAGCCAAAGTCCTCAGTACAGCTTTGAATCCTTACCCCAGAAGATTTGCCTCATCTGCGGTGATGAGGCATCTGGTTGCCACTACGGAGTACTTACCTGTGGAAGTTGTAAAGTCTTCTTTAAAAGGGCAATGGAAGGTACTTTATGATGCTGTTGTTCCTAGTTACTTCTTTCTAGGCACTGCAAAGMACATAACTTGTAGCAATTGCTGAAACAGATCTTTAAAAGTATTAGGARTGTAGTTAGGATTTTCTGTACTTGCTGTTTTGGCAACTCTATTTAAAGTATTGCAGTGAATACTAAATTCTTTCCTAACTGATTTTACCAACATTATTTGTTTTACTTTTATTAGTTGCTGTTGATCACTTTCTCTGGGTAGGCAGAAGTCCATAACAATCTTCCATATTGCCCATTTTAATTTTGAAAGTTTGAGTGATAATCAAATAAAATGTTCATTCTGTTTTTTAAGTCATGAGGCATTTTTCTTGCTTGCAAAATGAAGAATTTGGCCTCCTGAATTTTGTGGAAGAATTTCATGTTTTACTGAACTATTCAAGTAACGATAAATGGGTTTGACTTTTGTTCCAGCCAGACATTAATTAACTAAGGCAAGCTGCAGGTTTAATAAGACAATAGTAAGATTACTTATACTTATTTATTCTTTTTGGATTATATTGTGTGACTTGAGGTCATTGTCAATATATGCCTGCTGAGGTTTTAAATCTGGAACAAATACAAGAACAGATTTCTTTATATAGTTCAACCAATGATGCCCTATAACAAATGTGCCTACATCTTATGCCCTGTCTCCTTTTCTGTAGCTATAATCTTACCCACAGGAACTAGGATATTAAGGTTGCTGTTCCATATACTTAACCAATCTGTTATTGCAATGTATAGATTTCCTCAAAATAAAAAAATCCATCTTAAGTTTTCATATTATGATGCACAGCTTATCCAACTTTATAGACTTAATTTACCTTCAAATGAAGAGGGATATGAATATTGAGAAACTAAGATCTTAGAGAAATAGCATTCTAAAACAACAACAACGTTGTTATTTTCTAGCTGAAGCATACACACATGTTTTTAAGGACACTAGACTATGTTGACTTTGGAGTTACTGCAGCTTTTTCTTCTCCAATACATTTGTGGGAGGTATAAGAAGCAGTTATTAAAAACAGGGGAAGAACTGGCTCTTAAGACAATGCTAGAAATACACGCTTAAGTTTTTTTAGCTGTGTTAATCTAGCCTCTTGGTTTTGCTTCACATACTTTACTTTTTTTTTYCTTTTGGTGAACCACCCATATACTTAAAAATGCCAAACAAGTTTTAAGAATGTGCATAATTCATGAATGCTATATTTTTAAAAGTTTATTTCAACTGCGCCGTTATATGTGTATATATATGTGTTTTCTATTTTAATTTGATTCAATCCCATTCAAATTTAATCTCTTTCCTAACTCAGTTTCAATACTTGTACAGAAGGTGAGCCTGCTCAAAAATGCATTTTATTAGTGTTCAGCATAAAAATATCAGTGATAAGAAGATATGAATTGTTAGTAAAAGTGTCTTAATCAAAGCTTGGTTTTGCGAGTAATTTATGGAAAATGTGTATTTGTAGAATTTTACAGGATCAAGAATATAGTCATAAAATGAAAGGAGGTCAGCATTTACACAAACAAAATACATACGCTTTACATAGCATGTTCATACTCGGCATTTTTAAGTGATTGCAAAGAGTTAGAATATTATGAGAAATTGATTTCTGTATTAAAAATATTCAAAGACTGGACAACACCTCAGAAAGGGGATTAAAACAATAAAAAATATAGGCCATGATTCTTAACGGAAAGCTTGACAGAAAAAAGCAGCGTGACAGAGACAGATACAGAGTTATTCATAGGTGCCTGGCTTTTTGTAGAAGGTGTAAGTCTATGGAAAATTCTAAAAAACTCAGACTTCCCATTTTAACTGAAGCACAGGATATAATAAGCAGCATTGAAATAATCTCATTTATGGATTAATGCCTGGTTTCCCTCTAGTTTAGGTGTACTTCACTTTTAACTTTATATTACAACTAAGGGTAATAGAATACTCTCCAGTTAAAAAAAAAAAAAAAAAAGGATATTTTTATTACAAATACAATAGAAAATGGCATTTGGAAGTTTACAAAATAATTGTGTAAATTTATTTGAGCATATTTTTAATGTGAAATATCTCCATGCCCATCATTTCTTGAAGTATGAGTGAATTATTTAACCTTTATAAATTTTGGATAGTACGATTACAGTCATAGCTATTTTGTTTATTAAGTAATAATTCTTGTAAATAAATCGTTAAACTTTGTGAATGCAAACTCGTAGTCATGACTCCACTTTAGATTTACTGTATATAAGTACCTACTATAAGAAATAGTACTATAAAATCGTAAATAGAAATYTGCTACTTGGATTTTCTGTGTTTAGATGACTTTCATATCTTATGAAGCTTTCAAGAACATAAAATAAAGGGGCAAAGCATACTGCCTTATAATTTGCTGAGAAATGTCTATTTCTATTTTAAAAAATCTATTTAATCTCAAATATGCTTGCTGTTTCAAGCCTTTGTCATCTTTCGGTTCACACACCAATTATTTTAACTCTCCTTTTGTGTGTGGAAATTACCTTATTAATTAAATATTCCCTTTGTGTTAAAAGGAGCYGTTACATTATCCAGAAAACTCCGTTTTTCATCTCTGATGTTTCAGAATAAAGTCAAGTCATAATATTCAGAACAAACAATTATTTAGGCCATACAAGTGAACCTAGAAATATTCTACAGCTAGTAAGATTTAATCATACTTTTGACTATAACCAACAAAGATTTATAATATAATTAACTTAACCATTCACACTTTAGCAGTGATCCAGAACTGTTTTAAAATCACTAACATGAATGAGTAGATTTAGGATAAATTATTTCGGTTTGTTTGTTGATAGCAAATATTGAATGTTTGTTCATAATGAATTGTATAATATGGTGCGTAGTATCCATTGCTGGGTCCTTGATTTCTGTAGGTTCATATGATCATAAAGGAAAAAATGTTAGTAAAACATATATAGTTTGTGCTAAACAGAATCTTGAGGAGAAATAGGTTAATCACAGGCAGATAATTTTTTTAGAAAAAATATTCATTTTCAATAGGCTTTGAATTAATTTTTTGCCCAGTTTTAAGTCTCCATGCAGGTTGCAATATTTTCAGAAGTAAGTTTTGTCTTTCAGGACAGACTTAAGGGAAAGACTATGATTAGTAAATATTTGATTAGAAAATACATAATACACTTTTAAGACCTTGAACAACAGCTTTTAGAGCATCTGAAAAAAATGAGTTGATTTTTGGGGAAGTCGGGAAAAAAATAATACTGCAAATGGGAAGAATAGCTAAGGAAAAGCTAAGGGATAAGGATAGCTAAGGGGCAAATATTCTGTTTTTTGTTTTATTTTCTTTCAGGAAACATTACCTTTCTTGTCAGTGAGTTGAGAATGACTGTTATTTGAGATATCAATCAAAAAGTACTCAGAAACAATAGAAGCAATGTTTTCTAATAAGTAGAACTAGTGTTTTTGTAAAGTGATTTACTGTTAGTGAGTGGAAATTACTACTAGATCTACTTCACGGTCACACAAAAATTAGATATAGTATTTCTAATATATGATTATATCTAATACATGATTCCTCCATCTCCATATGACAAAGAACTTTTCCTGTGAGGGTGACAGAGCCCTGGAACAGGCTGCCCAGGGAGGCTGTGGAGTTTCCTTCTCTGGAGATCTTCCAAACCCGCCTGGCTGCCACCCTGTGCCCCATGCTTTGGGTGTCCCTGCTGGAGCAGGAGGATTGGACTAGATCTCCAGAGGTCCTTTCCAACCTCAACTATTCTGTGATTCAGTGATGCTGTGATTAGGAGAATAATAATTATGCAGGTGAACACTTTTTTAACACTAATTTGATGGAGTCTTTAATGTTATCTATGAAAGATATCTTCATATAGAGTCATGCAGGATAACAGTAATTAGATTACATATGTAAAAGCATGGCAAAATTTATGCCTTGAAGAGCATCAGAGAACTTTTCAAGAGTTTTGTTTGCAGATGTTTTACTGATGAAAAGTACAAATTACGTAGATTCTTAAAAAAAAAAAAAAAAAAAAAGGTATTGTCTCTCCTATATAAAGTTCTCCTCCTACTACTTACTATTTTGGTTAATAATCTTTATATAAGGTGTTTATTTCCCTTCATCCTTTGATTATATTACTTAGACATACAGTGAAAAGTAGGTCCCCAAATCTGAAGAGTTTGAGACCAACATTAATAAGTGTTACAGCAGATGTGTGAAAAGCTGTTCATGGTATGTTTAAGCACTGTAACACTTTGTTACTGTTAGAAAACCAAATTGGTGATTAAGTAGAAAACTTACCTCATTTTAATTTTTCCTTCAAGATCGGGGCAATGGTCATATACAAATAATAGTATCAGGGAGCAAAGCTCTACCCTAGGTACTAGCTAACATGTAACTGACAAAATGTGAAGGTTTTGGGTTTTTTTTAGAGATCTAGTTGGACACTACTTCATGGAAAGTACAGTTTCTATAGGACTTTTCTTTATAAGAAGAGGTACAGGTGGAAGAAAGTATTGAAATAAGAACAACCTGCATTGTCTGTAGTTGTAGATCTGACCATCTGTAGATCTGTAGATCTGACCATAGTCTGACCATCACTTCAAGCAAACTTTTTGAAAAATTTTATGGGACTCGGATTTGTATAGCCAGTTTTATGGTGATAGTGTGATTCTTTACATCCTGTAGCGAAATGCTGTGCATAAAGAAAAATTGCAAATTTAAATAAAAGTGCTTTTCCATAGTTTAAGAATGGAGACCAAATAATTAAATAAACAAATACAATTGCTTTCTTTGGAAGGATAATGAAATGGAACACTATACAAAATCTTTAGGCTTTGAGATTGGCTGGGGAGCTCTGAAAAAAGAYCTCTTGTTTCCCACCTCTGCAAGAATTTGCAATCCAGTTTTGTTAATCCAGTTTTCCAGATTGGGTCCCAGAAATTGGTACAGTTTATACCATGGACAAGATAGTGATG